TACAATGAATATTAAATAAAGACATTATTAAGTATGATAAAATGATGGTGCTTGTTATCGTGAATGAAACAAAGTTTTATGATTTATTGGGAATTAGACAAAGAAAAGGTAAGTTTCACTTTTGTGGCAAGTAGTACATTTTGGTAAAGATGTTTGATGTGTGTCTTACACATAATGCAGGAAATCACATCTCACATCAATTAATTAATGACAAAAAGTCAATTAATATAAATTCAATGAAAAATATAAAAATTATAAATATTTAATAATTTTTGTTTGTGAAGATTGAATTTAAAATACTTAAATTTACTATATACTTAAAATATATAATTGTACTTTTTTATTTTCTATATCAAAATAGGTTAACTCTTAAAATATTTATAAAGATAAACATATAACTTTGATTATAGTTCCATGTTTCTCTCTACAGTTTCCTATTTAGTCAAATCAAAGACGACATGCATTATTTCTTAATTAGGAGAAATTTGGTTTGTTGTGAATGAGATTTGAGAGCTTAATTTGCCCGTGAACGTTGAATTGATCAACCAAACCATTGTTATTTCATCCCTTCCATCATTCTTCAATATCTGCATCGTTACAACGCCATAAAATAGTAATTAACGTTGTTACAACATCGATGCAAAAACCTGTCTTATTTGACACTCAAGATTCTTATCTTATGTGACAAAGATGTTCTTCTTAAAATAGTAAACTGAATAATACGTTTGTTTTAAAAAATCAAAAGTTGAGACTACCATGTGATAGTGGGCATGACCAAAATAATATTACAAGGAATTTCCAGGTACCTATTTTTTTTATTTGTATATGCCTGCAATTTCATATTATTTAAAATACCAATCACTATTTTTTTTCTACTAATAATAATTATTACGTTTAAAGTATATTCATCATCTCACTTCAAATGTGTAGAAAACACCAAAATCATATAATATAGGAACATTGTTTTAGAGGTTCATTTACTAGTGATGACCAATTCTTGCTCGTAATCTATAGTTTATGTTTCTTAAGAGATTCCAGAATCTTACATCTACATGTGAAGAATCGTTAAATAAATTTATTATTATGTGAATTTGAAAGTTAGAAAGTAGTGAGAATTTTTAATTGGTGTACCGAAGAAGAATCAGTCAAAATTCTGAACTTAGTCAGATAATCGAATGTGTTTGAGGAACCACTTTGTCTCCCCCCAAGCAAAGTGACAATGGATTGTGTGGGAAAATTTCATATCTTTCACAAATTTCACTATATTAACTACTTTTTAATTTCAACTTATTTCTTAAGTATTCTTGAACAAAAAATTAAACTTCAGAAATTTTAGTTTCTTTGATAGAATGTATTAAATATAAAAAGCTATTTTAATATTAAAAGATATCCAATAATACGAAAATACAAGTTGATAATGTTTTTCCTTTGGATCCAAGTTCATTAATATTCATACAGTTTGAAGAGGAAGAGAGATTTCTGTTTATTAACATCTTTCAATTTATATGGATAACAATTATCTCCGTTCTACAATCTAAGTTCATCTATATATATTTACCACACTCAAAGTATATCAATCATACGTTATCATATGACAAATTTATTAAAATAAATATAAAATAAATGAAGAATACAAATTATGGAAATATCCCACTAAACATAAGATAAAGAAATAAAAAAAAAAAGTTTACACTTTACAAATCATAGGTAGATGATATTTATTGTGAAATAAATCTAAATAAATAAATGTAGACATGATATTATATCTCTTATACTGTTTTTTTATTTTCCATATCCAAATTCACGAATTTATCCGTATAATAACTTTTTTCATGAAAAATATGTAAACTTTTAAACTAAATTTTATTAAAAATATATAAACATCTACACCATCTACCCTAAAATTTCAAGGCACTATCATATGAGAAAGAAAGAAAATTGACAAATTAAATAAAAGTTACATTCCAATCAAAGTTCCTAAAACCCACAGTCTAGACATGTTTATATGCATAGATGACCCCACAAATTTTGCATAAATAAAATTTTGTATACCCGAGAATGTAAAAAAAAAAAAACCTCCAATATATTCACATATGCAACTTCTAAAAACACCACCATATGCAACTAGACTAAGACAACCTTTAGTAGCTCCATGTTTACCTTTAACCAATTAGAAAGTGGAATTTGTCAAACAATTTTCTTCCAAATAGAAATCTTACCATGTATAGTATTTATGTAAAATTGTTTAGAACTATTAAATATGAAACAATGTTGTGCATTTGGAGATGACTACCACCCAATCTAACGAGTTATGTTAGATATATTATTTTTATTTTATATTTATCTTTTATCTTTAGTTAGTTTGTTATTATTTGTATTTTGGACTTAACCCATATTTCTTCTATTATAAATAGAGGACCCTATGTGTGTATTCAACACAAGGAAAATTAATCCCATATATAATTTTCACTATATTCAACATGGTATCTAAAGCCTAAGGTTCTTTTAAGGAAAAAGTTTATGGTGCCTCTACCACTACATCTGTCGCAGCCGACGGCAGCGCCATCTACCGTTGCCATTACCAAAGTTTTAGTTTCGATTGACGATCACATGGTTTTAATCGTCTCGACTAGGCAACCACCATGTCATCAACGACGCCTTCGTTGGAGATCTTACGCGCTCTCAGCGCCTTTTAAAGTTATGGATTTGCTCCTTTTTCCGTCATGCATGGTGGCATATCTAATAGTAATTTAGAGTGTGAAAGTCACATTCATCGTGTGTTGTTGCACGTCCTGTCTCCTCTCAGACAGTTATTTAGAGCATCGAGGTTGCTCTTTTTCCTTTTTTAAGTGTCTTGATTGGAAAATCTTTGATTTTTATAGTTTCTCTCTCTTCTTTATCCATGACTTCTTCTTCTGTTGTTGTCTCTTATTACCTCTGTTTTGTCACCATTGCGTTTGACTCATTCATATATGTTTTTTTTTTCATGGAAAAGATGGTTTTTGTTAGTTTATTTATATCTGTGGTGGCTCTCCAACAATTACCTCTTCATCCACTGGTGGCATTCCTCAACGACAATTTGCAATAAGAGATTTACATTGAGCAACCTCCCATATTTATTGCTCATGGAGAGTCTTCTGGGTTGGTATTTCGTCTTCTATGTCGTCTTGCAAATCATTAGCAATTTGGTGTCACTCGAGTTCAGAAGTAGATATTTTCACTGAGTCTTTATGGATCATATTAGTAACAAGCTTGATACATACGATTTGTATCCACCAGCTTGAGGGGGAGTGTTAGATATATTATCTTTATTTTATATTTATCTTTTATCTTTATCTTTTATCTTTATCTTTTATCTTTAGTTAATTTGTTATTATTTGTATTTTGGGCTTAGCCCATATTTTTTCCATTATAAATAGAGGATCCTATGTATATATTCAATACAAGGGAGATTAATCCCATATATAATTATCACTATATTCAACAGCTCTTTAACTTTGCATGTTGCCATAATAAAATTAATAAGAGATTGAAATCTATAGTATTTTCTCATAATCATATCATCAAAACCACTATAGTAATAAATACAACTCTAACACTTTTAAACAAATGATTTCTTAGCAATGCAGGCCGAATCGACCCGTTTAAGCTCGATCTACACTTGGCTTATTTTGCTTTTGAAAAGTAATCAGAATTTTATAACCTGTTTCACATACATTGTGACTCGTAGCCTTACGGGTGACTAAAATTAATACTTAGAAGCATTTTAATTAAATCGAGAAAGATTAAAATTGGAGGTGTTATGCTATGTCCTCGAATTTGAACAAAAAAATTAGGGTTGAACAAATTTGGATAAGCAGATTGGCTCACCCTACCCCTCAAAGGCTCGCACGAATTGCAGGTTATGTAAGCGAGGCTTCAATGGATCAATGGACTCAAAATTTCAAGTCACCTCTCACTTTGAGAGTTGTTCCCTCCACCACCCCAAGTGCTCTCTACACCTCCTCATTATTTTTTTTATTCCAAAAATACCCTACATTAATTTAATTTTATTTATCTTTTTCAAAATCCTAAATCTCCCTACACCCCTACATCCCTTCACTTTTTTTTATTATGAATTTTATTTGTATAAAACAAACATTTATTCTCTATAACCCAAAAATACTACCTACAATTTCGTCTTACCAACTCTGATTTTGGATTGAAGAAGGTTTGAAAATTTACAATTCTAAAACTGAATTAAATAATGAGTTTTTATTATTATTTTACCACGGATAATGATTTATTTTTAATTTGAGATAAATTAATAATATAAAAACAAAGTCATGTGTGGTAACACTTGAAATAAGAAAAATGATAGTAAATAAAAATATATTAGCAAATTTGTAGTACCCTGTTCTGGAACGGAAATCAAAGGAATAAAAAAAAGAAAACAAAAGCAGAGAAGAACAAAAAGAAACAAAGTGTGTATGCCTACAGGTCAACTGCTTGACTCGTTTCGCACTGTCATTCAAAGTTTAAGATTTCTAAAACAAAAATAATGAACAAAATAGACAAAACCTACAAGAGAAAATAAAAAATAAAAGAAAAGAAATAAATGTAAGAGAATAAATTTGTATTTTAAAGATATACTAATCCATTGAACTAAGACGTGAAAATTACCTTTATATATATGAAGATTAGGAATTCACAGCTATTTTGTTATAATATAAATTTGACTAACAGATCAACGGCAATGTGATCATATTCTTAACTCTAAACTGTTACCACTGCAAAGATGAGAATTCAATAGGGTTCATCAAGAATAGCCATCCCGAATGAATAACATTAGTACAAGAAAGAACATTGATATCATTTATTAACAACAAATAATAGTTATCTAATTAGTTAACCAACGGGTTAAATCTTCCTTTTTTTCTTTTTCCATATAGTTTGAATCTAACAACTTTGGCATATTATTAACTTTGTAATGATTTATGATTGGGCCGCAGAGCTCAAAATCGGACACAAGTAACACAGTTTCGTTGTTGAATTCCTGCACTTTTCAATATAAATAAATGTCCTTCTCATCCATATTTGAAAAATCATGGAGAGAGAGCTAACCGACTTCACTGTGCTGAATATTCGGCATACCAAGACAAAACATAAAACGAACCACACCGCGTGATCAGAACTAAACTAACACAAACATTAGAAACCAAATTCATCTGTAACTCATCTGCTGTCTTCTCTGCACATTTTTGTTCATGGAGCTTCTTCACAACCTCAACATTCTCACCACAGTTATGCTCCTATGCATGTTCCCTCACTCACTCAAGTGCCAACAAGCATACCTCAATGACACTGTCTATGACTGTTCTGACAACCCTTCTGCACCAAAAGGCTACCTTTGCAATGGCCTTCGAAAGTCATGCACTTCCTTCTTACTTTTCAGGTCCAAACCTCCCTATGATAGCCCTGTCAGAATTGCCTACCTTCTTGGCTCTGAGGCATCTACCATAGCCTCAATCAACAACATCTCAAGAAATGACAAGATTGCTTCTAACAAGACAATCATTGTTCCTGTATTCTGTTCATGTTCAGGAAACATCTACCAGCACAACACACCTTACACTGCCAGCAAGAATGACACCTATTATCAGTTGGTAACAGAAACCTTCCAAGGTCTCACTACCTGTCAATCAATGATGGGTCAGAATTACTATGCAGCAACCAAAATTGCAATTGGTGCTGAGCTCACAGTTCCCTTGTTATGTGCTTGTCCAACTGTAAATCAGACAGCAATAGGGGTCACCTCCTTGTTGGTTTACTTGGTGAACTATGGTGACACTATTGAATCCATAGGAAAGGCTTATGGTGTGGATGAACAAAGAATGCTTGAGGCCAATGAGTTGGCTGTGCCACAAAGTGAAAACATAAACACGGATCTCCTTTCCTTGACACCTCTTTTAGTTCCTCTAATAGGGAAGAGCTGCAAAGAGAACCCAGATAAATTCTATTGCAAATGTTATCAAGCACCGGATGGAAGCTCTAAGGGGCCCTTCTGTGATGAGTCTGATGGTCAGAAATTCCCTGCCAAGTTGGTAGCCGCTTTAGGTACTTTTGTTTAAACCCTCTTCAAGAAGAATCATAATATGCTTTCATTGAAACTTTGGCTTTGGATTTTAGAATAGCATATAGCTGTTGTTTGGAGATTACACCCCTTATGAGCTATGTATCATCCTAGAAGAGTAAGAGCAATAGAGTGCAGTAAGAACTTGTATTTATTGTTTTAAACATAGCTTTCTGTTTTCTAACATTTTTTCGTTCCCTGAGCACATTTGAAAGTATTTTTCTTAAGCACATTTCTCTGTTTCGAAATGTTTATCCCTTGAACACTTGATTAGAGCATTTGAAGAAAATAGAAGAGGATGAAAAAACGTCCTAAACTGTTTGTAGTTTGTGGTTCCTAAAAGGCATATATTGGAAAAAAAATTAAATCTTAATAGATATTTTAGGAGAAGTTAATTTAATTGCTAAGTTGTGTGAAATTGTCTTAGGAAACAGCTTTCAAAATAACATAGTTACAAAGAAATCAAGCAGACCCAAAATGGTCTCTAATGACAACTGGCCAAAATTTAATTTTCACTTACTTGAACTTGCAACTTGTAAGCCTTTGCTTTCATTTTGAATGAGTTTTAGTTTTTCTTTTAATTTACAGGAGCAGGACTTGGTGTAGGCTTTCTGTGTTTGTTTCTTCTGGGATACAAATCATATCAGTATATACAGAAGAAGAGAGAAAATATCCGAAAGGAAAACCTTTTCAGGCAAAATGGTGGCTACTTGTTACAAGAGAAGCTCTCATCTTACGGAAATGGAGAAATGGCAAAGCTTTTTACAGCTGAGGAGCTACAAAGAGCAACAGATAGCTATAACAGGAGTAGGTTTCTTGGTCAGGGTGGCTATGGCACAGTGTACAAAGGAATGTTACCTGATGGAACCATAGTTGCAGTTAAAAGGTCCAAAGAAATTGAAAGGAACCAGATAGAGACTTTTGTGAATGAAGTGGTGATTCTATCACAGATCAACCACAGGAACATTGTCAAACTATTAGGTTGTTGTCTTGAGACAGAAACTCCTTTACTAGTCTATGAATTCATTCCAAATGGAACACTCTCTCACCATATCCACAGGAGAGACAATGAGCCCTCCCTTTCATGGGAGAGTCGCCTTAGAATTGCATGTGAGGTTGCTGGAGCAGTGGCATATATGCATTTTGCAGCTTCTGTTCCCATTTTCCATAGAGACATCAAACCTACCAACATACTTTTAGACAACAACTTCAGTGCCAAGGTGTCTGATTTTGGAACATCAAGATCAGTGCCACAAGATAAGACTCACTTGACCACAGCTGTGGGAGGAACTTTTGGGTACATTGACCCTGAGTATTTTCAGTCTAGTAAGTTTTCAGATAAAAGTGATGTGTACAGTTTTGGGGTAGTGCTGGTAGAGCTCATAAGTGGGAGAAAGCCAATTTCATTCTTAGAGGAAGATGAGGGTCAGAATCTGATAGCACAGTTTCTTTCTCTGATGAAGGAGAACCAAGTTTATGAAATTTTAGATGGAAGGGTGGCTAAGGAAGCAATGAAAGATGACATTCTAGCCATTGCAAACCTTGCAATGAGATGCTTGAGACTTAATGGGAGGAAAAGGCCAACCATGAAGGAGGTTTCACTGGAACTAGAAGCATTGAGAAAGGTGCAAAGTTCCTTACAGATCAAACATGATCATGAGCACAAAACTAGTGATATTATTCAAGAGTGCACAGAGGAAAGCATGTCACTGTCCTTACAACTAGAGTCTACATCCTTATAGGAAGCTGGATTTTCTCTTTATAGTGTTGTTGTAGGAAGCCAGATACCCCATTTTTTCTTAACTAGTGTTTCATGTTTTCTTTTACTGACATGTGTGGATAACAAAGTCTGCATTTCTCCACAAGAACATCAGTTGAAACTTAGAAATACTCTTAGTTCATAATAGACAAATCCTCATTCATACTTCTCCACTTTGTTGTTGCCTCGTTGAAGTGGCCTTTTGGAATGGGCTATAATAAACTAACGAACATGTTATATATTTTATAATTTTAATTTTTTAACGTATTACTATATGGCAAAGAAAAGAGCCTATTAAAAATTGAGATTTCCATAATTGAAGCTGCAAAAATGGAAGGATGAAGCACGTTGAGCGATAGAAAAATTTCAAAGTCAAAGCTTGAAACATGCAACATAAAGCATGTTGAAAATTTCAAAGATATACAATATCACAATTTGATTCCTCTAGGGATATATTTTAGTGGATAAAATGTGCTCTCAATATTGATTCAAATAAATAAAGGGTTGAGAAACTTGACAAAATCAAACACATAATTAATAAAATTTAAATTAATAAAAATATCAATAACTGATCTTCTAAAAAGTTTCATATTTCATGAAATTTTTCTTACAAATTTGTTATAAAATTTTATAAGAAAAAACTTTTTTTTTATTTCATGACAGATAATTCCTTCATGAATAATTATTTATAAAATTATAAAATTATAAAATTTGTAAGTATTATTTACAAAATTTTCTGTAAAAGATGTTTTATGCATAATATTTTGTACAATAACTAAAAACAATTTTTATAAATTATTATTCATAACAAAATTTATAAGTATTTTCTTGGAAAAAAATTTCAAAAGAAAATTAGTAAAAATATTTTTTTAATAGTGTATTATATGTGTCGACTAATACGAATCAATCAAATATCATAATCGATGGTACAATTAGATCGACTTTAGTCAAAAGCTTATGTATAAAACTAAAAATAAGTCAAAGATATACTTATTGAAACTTTTTACAATACATTTATTACAACATCAATCGCATCATAATATTTTTAGTATGTACATCCAATTAATTGGAGAATAAAATATGCCAATAGGATGATGATAGCCAAAGAATAAGTGATAGAAGCATGATTTTAAATGAACATTTCGAGCCTACACCTGAAACAAAACAAGTAGTAATAGATGTTAACTTGTTTCTATCTTCTTTTTTCTATCCTTTGTTTTTCTTAGTTACAAAAACGGGTCTTCTATACTCTATCTGCAATAAGACAAAATACACTTGCGTGTTTGAACCTTTCTTGATATAAGAAAAAAAAAATGCCTAAAACAAACATTCTAACACGAATGAGTACACATCATGAGACCAGTGTTGTCATTTTCGTAAACGATATCTCATAATTAGTTAGAACCCAGATAAGGAAGATTAACATTTCAACGCAATAGATAATCTAAAATTAAATTTAAAGGTGATGGTTATATGACATCTATGCCAAAAAAAAAGTGAACTATAATAACATCAAACTTTGCAAGCATGCAAAAACTGATTGATAAAATTAACTATTCTTATAGATTTGATTTTCTAAAATGTAAAGTGTATAGTTTTAGTTATTGTTTAAAAAATTAGGATTATAATTCTATTATAGCCAAACTATTTAACACGAATTCAAGGTTTAACAACCAGTTTGGTTCTGTTACATGATACTGATCTAGTTTTACATTCCGACAACCTATGCATTTGGCTACTTTGATGATTTTCAAATGCATGACCAAGGCAGCCATTGAAAAGTCAAAGTGCTCAGGAGAAACAAAATTTCGTTACTCAAAGTGTCTGATTATTGACTTTATTTAGAGGGATCAACACTAACTCACACCATGTTATAATTGTTTCTTCAACGTTGAATGATTCAAATCGTTTATTTTGTCTATGAATCCGAGATCCTATGAAGCATGTCTCTACCGCTAAAAAAGTAATAACAAATTTTCCATAAAATAAGAAAGCACAACACGGTATCATGAATGCATTAGATCTTAAACAGCTCTACCAAATTTACTTTGTCTTCTCCAGAGACAATAGGTTCATGGAGTTTCATCCTTACATTTACATTCTCTGCATAATTCTGTTCTTACAGATGTTTCCTGAATCTGCTAACTCTCAGCAAGCATACCTCAACAGCACTGTCTATGACTGCTCTGAGAACCCTTCTGCACCAAAAGGATACCTCTGCAATGGCCTTCAAAAGTCATGCACTTCCTTCTTAGTTTTCAGGTCCAAATCTCCCTATGACAACCCTGTAAGCATTGCCTACCTTTTTGGCTCTGAAGCATCTACCATAGCCTCAATAAACAACATCTCAAAAGATGATAAGATTCCTTCCAATAAGTCAATCATTGTTCCTGTATTCTGTTCATGTTCTGGAAATATCTACCAGCATATCACACCTTACACTGCCACCAAGAATGACACCTACTTCAAGTTGGTTACAGAAATTTACCAAGGCCTCACCACCTGCCAGGCCCTGATGGGTCAGAATTACTATGCCTCTGATGGCATTACAGTTGGTGCTGAGCTCACAGTTCCAGTAGTATGTGCTTGTCCCACTGAAAATCAGACAGCAAGAGGGGTCACTTCCTTGCTGGTTTACTCAGTGAAAAATGGTGATACTGTTAAGTCCATTGGAGAGGCTTATGGTGTTGACGAACAAAGTATGCTAGAGGCCAACGGGTTGTCAGTGCCGTCAACTGCAGACAACATCATAATCATCTATGCCACAACTCCTATCTTGGTTCCTCTCAGAGGGAAGAGTTGCAAAGAGGACCCTGACAGTTTCTATTGTACTTGCTCCCAGGGAACGGTTGCGAATGGAACCTTCATGGGGTTCCAATGTAATGAATCTGATGCTGAAAGTTTTCCTACCAAATTGGTTGCTTCCTTAGGTATTTTTTCTGAACCGTATATAGAATTAAATCTAGTTTTGTTTGAATTTTGGTTTTTAGCATGGCCGTAGTATGTAGCTGATGCAATTTAATGAGGTAAAACATGGTTTACAGATTGCCAATAATTATTTTCTTTTTGATAGAGCAATTATAGAGATGATTTTGGTAGTTGCTTAAAAATTTTGTCCTTGTTTGTGTATTTGCAGGTGTTGGACTTGGTGTAGGCTTTCTGTGTTTGTTTCTTCTGGGATACAAATCATATCAGTATATACAGAAGAAGAGAGAAAGTATCCGAAAGGAAAACCTTTTCAGGAAAAATGGTGGCTACTTGTTACAAGAGAAGCTCTCTTATTATGGGAAAGGAGAAATGGCAAAGCTGTTTAAAGCCGAGGAGCTACAGAAAGCAACAGATAACTATAACAGAAGTAGATTTCTTGGTCAGGGTGGCTTTGGCACTGTGTATAAAGGAATGCTACCAGATGGAACCATTGTTGCTGTTAAAAAGTCAAAAGAGATTGAAAGGAACCAGATAGAGACTTTAGTGAATGAAGTGATGATTCTATCACAGATCAACCACAGGAACATTGTCAAACTCTTTGGCTGTTGTCTTGAGACAGAAACTCCTTTACTAGTCTATGAATTCATTCCCAATAGAACACTCTCTCACCATATCCACAGGAGAGACAATGAGCCCTCCCTTTCATGGGAGAGTCGCCTTAGAATTGCATGTGAGGTTGCTGGAGCAGTGGCATATATGCATTTTGCAGCTTCTGTTCCCATTTTCCATAGAGACATCAAACCTACCAACATACTTTTAGACAGCAACTTCAGTGCCAAAGTGTCTGATTTTGGAACATCAAGATCAGTGCCACAAGATAAGACTCACTTGACCACAGCTGTAGGAGGAACTTTTGGGTACATAGACCCTGAATATTTTCAGTCTAGTCAGTTTTCAGATAAAAGTGATGTGTACAGTTTTGGGGTAGTGCTGGTAGAACTTATAAGTGGGAGAAAGCCAATTTCCTTCTTAGAGGAAGATGAGGGTCAGAATCTGATTGCAGAGTTTCTTTGTGTGATGAAGGAGAACAAAGTTTATGAGATTTTAGATGGCAGGGTTGTTAAGGAAGCAAGGAAAGATGAGATTCTTGCAATTGCAAACCTTGCAATGAGATGCTTGAGACTTAATGGGAAGAAAAGACCAACAATGAAAGAGGTTTCATTGGAATTAGAAGCATTGAAAAAGCTGCAAAGTTCCTTAGAGATCAACCATGATCAGGAGTATACAACTAGCGAGACAGTTCAAGAAATCACAGATGAAAGCATGCCACTGTTCTCAGAACTGGACTCCACATCCTTTTAGAAGTCAGAAATTTTGTTTTGTATTCTTTGTTAACTATGCTTCAGTATTTCATTTTCACCTTTCAGTATTAAATGACAGTATGAATACTTTCATATTTAATATTATTATCATAACTAAAACGTTATGCTTCTGAATTGAGCTAATATGTTTGTTATCTTTGTTAGTGGTAGATGTGTTATGATGGTCTGTGTTCATCTTTGTCTTAGTTTCCTTTTTATGATGAACAAAATAGACATCTCTGGCTCTTAGAAACTTCACCAATGTATGATGGGACGACTCCTGTGATGTAAAAATAAATAAAGATAAAATAAAAACAAAAATTAATTAATTTTTATAAAAGTTTTAAAAAGATAATTTTTTTTTGCATCTATCTACAATCTTTAAATCATACTTAAAACAAATCGAAAAATAGAACTAACAATTTTCAATTTGGCATCCTACCAAATTAGTCATACCAATTGAATCTTCTTCTCCTCGTGTCAATCTTGGGAAGTCTTTTCAACTGCTGTGTTTTTCATCAAATTGGATATTTTGTATTTTTCTTCACAAAAAACTTCTTAAAAGTAGTTTAAAACTTAAAAAGTCAGAACATTTTAACATTTCTTCCACTTCGTGTAACGGAAAATAACATAATAGATTGAAAAAATAGAAATTAATATGGTTAAGTTTGAACGAAACATAAACAATATAATTAAAAATTTGAGATTATTTTATTAAAAAGTTTAACAAAAATATTTTGTTATATCATTTCATTGTATCAACATACAATAATCAACTATATAAATTTTATTATATGGTTAAATTTTTACAACAAGATTCATTTTCAAAATTATATTGAATTTTGTTTAATCTACAGTCCATATTTTCTATCTTGTTAAATTCATTCATATCTTTTCTTCTCATAGTTATGCTTTTATGCTTTTTTCTCTCACAAATAATAACTAATATATTTGATGTTATCTGAAAAGTTGAATGTAAGATGCAACTCAATATCACATGACTTGTAAAATCAGAACAATCAAAATCTTATCAACATTATTTAGACAATATTTCTAATTGAGATAACTTTTTTCTAGTTCTCAACCAAATATGAAGAACTTAAGAGAGTAGATACCATTTTCTAGTTCTCTTCATACGTAAGCCTTTCAGCATCATTGTAGTTTATAAATGACCGCAATTAACACAACTTTCCACTGATATTTTTATAACTCATCTGAGGTATTCCCTGAAGACTTGTTCATGGAGCTTCACAAGCTCAATATTCTCATCACAATCCTGTTCCTATATTTGTTCCCTCATTCACAAAATTGCCAACAAGTATACCTCAACAACACTGTCTATGACTGCTCTGATGACCCTTCTGTAGCAAAAGGATATCTTTGCAATGGCCTTCAAGATTCATGCACTTCCTTCTTAGTTTTCAGGTCCAAATCTCCCTATGACAACCCTCTCATGATTGCTTACCTTCTTGGCTCAGAAACATCTGATATAACCTCAATCAACAATATCTCAACAACTGAGAAGATTCCTTCCAATAACTCAATCATTGTTCCTGTCTTCTGTTCATGTAATGGAAACATCTATCAGTATGACACACTTTACACTGTCAAAGAAAATGATACCTACTGGGCCTTGGTAAAAGAAACCTTCCAAGGCCTCACCACCTGTCAAGCAATTATGGGTCAAAATTACTATCCTCCAACTAATATTGCAATTGATGCAGAGCTCAAGGTTCCAATGTTATGTGCTTGTCCCACTGCAAATCAGACAGAAAGAGGGGTCACCTCTTTGCTGGTTTACTCTGTCAACTCTGGTGACAGTGTTAAGTCCATAGGAGAGGCTTATGATGTGGATGAACAAAGTATACTAGAGGCCAATGAGTTGTCAGAGTCACGGAGTGCAAACAGCAGCATGCTTCTCCCTGACTCCACACCTATTTTAGTTCCTCTAATGGGGAAGAACTGCAAAGAGAATCCAGATAAATTCTACTGTAAATGTTACAGAGAACCACTAACAGATGGAAGCTCCAAGGGGCTATTATGTGATGAATCTGGTGGCAATGAATTTCCTGTCAGATTGGTTGCTGCTTTAGGTATTTTTGTATAAACTCCCTTCAAGAAAAATCAAGATATAGTTGTATTGGAGTTTTGGATTTTCCTTTTTAACATAACATAACTGAGTTTGGCTCTAACTCACTCGTGAAGTATGAATTGTCTTCTTTATATATATTATTTTGGTTAAATCATTGAGTCAATAAGGAATCTCCACATGGCCTTCTTTATATATACTACGTTTATCAAATCAGTTGGTATGAGATCGCCAACATACCTTCTGTATGTTGAGCATTGGACATTTGAAACTAAATTTTTCAGGGGTGGCATGCTAATGTTGGGTAAACTTATACATAGATAATTGTAAGTTGTTATATTAATTGTCTTAGTAGATTGTAAAAGTCAAGAGTGTTTCTAGCAATGATTAAGGCATGTAATAGAGTTCATTAATTGTGATAATTATAATTAATGCATATAATTGAAAGGCATGTCAAAAAGCGTATAAATAGTATAAATAGTCCATGTACTACTCAATACTCAATGTAAAGACATAATAGACAATTATTTAAGATAGACTTATTATCATCAAGTAAGCATCAATTCAATAGAGTAAGAATACTTAAAGATTTAATGTCAACCTAAAATCAAGATTTGAGCTTAACTCAATCATAAAAACTTAAACTAATTCATAATAGGGTGAAAAATTGCCTCCAATTATATACAGTATTTTGGTTATATTTCTAAATAACTTGACCAGATAAGGTTTGGTCGATATGTATCACAGAACCAATATTTAATTTTAACCTTGAACTTCCAACTTGTTAATTAGTCAATGTTACAAAAAAAAAAAAAAAGGAGTATCTTTGCAAGTTTATTCTGCCACCCTAATGAAAAACTTGGGAATTTGCAGGTGTTGGACTTGGTTTAGGCTTTCTGTGTTTGTTTCTTCTGGGATACAAATCATATCAGTACATACAGAAAAGGAGAGAAAGTATCCGAAAGGAAAACCTTTTCAGGAAAAATGGTGGCTACTTGTTACAAGAGAAGCTCTCATCTTACGGAAATGGAGAAATGGCAAAGCTTTTTACAGGCGAGGAGCTACAAAGAGCCACAGATAACTACAACAGCAGTAGGTTTGTTGGTCAGGGTGGCTATGGCACAGTGTACAAAGGAATGTTACCTGATGGAACCATAGTTGCAGTTAAAAGGTCCAAAGAAATTGAAGGGAACCAGATAGAGACTTTTGTGAATGAAGTGGTGATTCTATCACAGATTAACCACAGGAACATTGTCAAACTATTGGGTTGTTGTCTTGAGACAGAAACTCCTTTATTAGTCTATGAATTCATTCCAAATGGAACACTCTCTCACCATATCCACAGGAGAGACAATGAGCCCTCCCTTTCATGGGAGAGTCGCCTTAGAATTGCATGTGAGGTTGCTGGAGCAGTGGCATATATGCATTTTGCAGCTTCAATTCCCATTTTCCATAGAGACATTAAACCTACCAACATACTTTTAGACAGCAACTTCAGTGCCAAGGTGTCTGATTTTGGAACATCAAGATCAGTGCCACAAGATAAGACTCACTTGACCACAGCTGTAGGAGGAACTTTTGGGTACATTGACCCTGAATATTTTCAGTCTGGAAAGTTTTCAGATAAAAGTGATGTGTACAGTTTTGGGGTAGTGCTGGTAGAGCTCATAAGTGGGAGAAAGCCAATTTCATTCTTAGAGGAAGATGAGGGTCAAAATCTGATTGCAGAGTTTCTTTCTCTGATGAAGGAGAACCAAGTTAATGAAATTTTAGATGGAATGGTGGCTAAGGAGGCAATGAAAGATGACATTTTTGCCATTGGAAACCTTGCAATGAGATGCTTGAGACTTAATGGGAGGAAAAGGCCAACAATGAAGGAGGTTTCACTGGAATTAGAAGCATTGAGAAAGGTTCAAAGTTCCTTACAGATCAAACATGATGATGAATACCCAACTACTGACATAGTTGAAGAATGCACAGACGAAAGGATGCCACTTTGCTCAGAACAAGACTCCACATCCTTCTAGGAAAACCAGATTCTTGTCTGTTAACTTGTGTTTCATTTTTCAATTTTTAGCATGTGGCATGCTTAATTATAAATGAAAATATTTCATCTCTCCACAATAATACCGGAAATGCTCAAGTTTTTCTAGGTAATTGAAAAATCCCAAATCATAATTATGCACTTTGTTGTTGATTCGTTGTAATATTATTGTGAAGTGCATGATGAAAAGTAGAAAATAATCATTAATTATAATTAGGGATTAGACGAGAAATATATAACAGTTAATAATGATTATTGGTTTTTTAACCTTTTATGTACACATTTTATTATCTGTTTTACTTTTTGCAATTTTTTTTATTATTAATCACTTTTTTAGTTTCTACGATTTACAAGAAATTACTCAATGAAATAATAAAAAATTGGAAGTATTTTTTTGGTATAATTATAGCAATTAATAAAAATACTCTTTTAGATACACATTTTATTACAATTGAATTCTTTATATTTTAATATTTATTTTTTATTATAAATAATAATTATTTCAATTTTTTAATTATATTTAATATTTTTTTCTTGTCATACAAATATGCAAAAGTGTTTGTATTTTCACGATAACTAAGATAACTAAGATAAATACAAACATTTTTTTATTCTGTTTACCATTTGGGTGTTATAACTCCTACAGGTTGTTTGGTGTTACAAATAGAAACAAGGGCAGTAAGATTTTATACATGAGAGTAATTTAAAAATAAATGTGACATGTCATAACTTATATTATAATTTAGAGTTAAATATATTTTTAGTTATTACTATTTAAAAAAAATTCAATTTTATTCTTATATTAATATTTTTTTAAATTTATTAATAAATGGATTTAATTTTTATGATCAATGATAACAAGTCACATGTGTTTACATGTATTAACATGTGTGTTAGGCTTTTGCACCAAAATAGGCATATTTGCCTTTAATATTACCGAAATGAGCAAATTCAACCAAAATTACGAAAATGGAAAAGTCGTGGGGGACCCAAACGACTTCAATTGAAAAAGTCGTGCCCCCCTGCACGACTTCACCCTGTTCATTTGACCAGGGTTGAAGTCGTGCACTCCAAAAACGACTTTAGGGTATGGTAATCGATTACCACATGTTGTAATCGATTACCATACCGTTTTTAATAAAAAAATATAAAAAAAATTGAAATCGTAGGGGGGTTCACGACTTCAATAAGAGAAGTCGTGCACCCCCAACACAACTTTACTTTATTTTAAATTTTAACTTTTATTAACTAAAATCATTTATAATTTCTAAAAAATATTTTTAAATGTATTTAAAATAATTAAAATCATCTTTAATTAATAATTAAAGTTTTTTAATATTATTAAATAAATAAATTTTATACTTTTAATCATTTTTGTAATTAAATTAAATTTTTTATAAAAGAATTTTAATTAAATAATTTATAACTATAATTATTATAATTATCTAATTAAAAATTCAAACAATTTTATATTTCATTATAATTTATTTTTTTAATTTTAATTATTATAGTATATTTTTTTACAAATTATAATTAATTAATAATAATTTTTTTCATTATAAATTATTTATGCATTTTAATTTATGTAATTATAATAATAATAATTATAAATTATTTAATTAAAATAATTTTAAAAAATGTGATTAATTTAATAACAAAAATAAGTTTATTTATTTAATAATATTTAGAAACTTTAAATATTAATTATATATAATTTTTAATATTTTAAATACGTTTAAATATATAATTTAAAAATTATAAATCATTTTAA